TTCAAAACTTTATCTTACTAACTAGCTTGTTGAGTTTTTAAAAATTTATATACTCACATCTGTACACCTTTTTTTTTTTTCCTTGCCCTACTGCTGTGGCTATGATTTCTAGTACCACGTTGAATAAAACTGTCAAGAGTGAACATCTTTGTCTTGTTCCCATTTTTAGGGAGAAAGCATTCAGTCTTTCACAATTAAGTATGGTATTAGTAGTAAACTTGTCATTTTCACTCTTGGCCAAGTATCAAAGAGCAAGCTCTTTGAATAGAAATCTCAATGGAATACAGGTAGCAGAGTGGGGACAAACCGTGCCACTTTTGCCTACCTCCTTTCTCCCTCTTTCCTCATATAACAATGCTTTGATGTTTCCCTCAGGAGAAGTCAACATTCCCCCACCAGTGCAGTTCTAGGGCAGTGAGCAGCTGAGTCAGGTCATGGCAATTCATCTATCCTACCCTCTGTTCCAGATATTTAGTCCAATAAAATTCAAAGATGGGACTTCTTTGAAATTATTACATAAGGCTCTCTTTCTACTAAACTTATAGATTAGGGGTCAACAAAGTATGACCCATGACTGAAAGGTGTCCATCTGTTTGTTTTTTGGTAAATAAAGTTTTATTGCAATGTGGCCACACCTGCTCATTCACCTATTGTCTACAGCTGCTTTTGAGTAACAACAGCAAAGAAGAGTAGCTACAACAGTGACCATAGGGCTCCCAAAGCCTAAATTCTAATCTGCCCCATTAACAGAGCCAGTTTCCTGCTGTTATTGATAGTATCTGGATAGTATCTGGATAGTATCTGGATAGTATCTGGATACTATCTGGAAAGAACCTACTAGAAATGGCATTAACATAAAAGAAGAAAACAACTGCAAATATTAGGGAAGTTCCTGGATATGGATGGGCCAGAACTATTGTACCCCAACATTTTTCAGTTCCATAGCCAATAAATCCAGCTTTTTTTTTCTCAAGCAAGTATAAATGGGGCTTCCTTCATTTGAATTCAAATTTGCAACATAGATTAAAAACTATAATGCTCACTGCAAAATCACAATTCTAATTTCTTCCTCTGTTATACAGCTATGAATACCATAAAGATACCCAGAATTTCTTCTGGATGAGAAAGTCACTGAGCACTACAAACTGTAATTTCTGTAACCAAAACAGTGTACAAGCAACCAATTCAGGGTTCATTTTGGCTGTTTTTCCAACCAACCAACCTGAAGTGTTATTAAACAATAAAAGAACAAAAAAGATGTAAGCCAAAGTTACCCCTACCACACACACACACACACAAAGAACACTGACAATCATCACAATCAATCATTCACAGACCAACCAAGCTATAAGTACAAAAACAAAAGTTAAGTGCTGCCATTATAATCTCCCTAAAATAAAGCAAACATTCCAAAACCAAGTAGAGAAAGAGGTTTCTGCTTCCTTTAACAAAGCCTAAACTTCTAAGGGGACACAGTTAACTAATTAGGGAGGATGTGATTAAAATTGGAGCTGCTAATGGGCGCCTGGGTGGCCCACTCCGTTAAGCGTCTGACTTTGGCTCAGGTCATGAACTCGCAGTTTGTGGGTTCGAGCCCCGCGTGGGGATATATGCTGACAGCTCAGAGCCTGGAGCCTGCTTCAGATTCTGTGTCTGCAGCTCCGTGCCTCCCCTGCTCAGCCTCTGTCTCTGTCTCTCAATAATAAATAAAAATGCCTAAGAAAAAAATTGGAGCTAATTGTCTACTGGGTATATAGCTCCAGGAATATTCCCTAGAGGCTCTCAGCAATGGGAGACAAAATTAAGCCTAATATTCCTGCCACTTATGCAATTATCATTTGTCTGTCTCTCTCTCTTCAGCAAACTTAAAAGTACATAGAGGTATGGTGCTTAATGCAAGCTCTATGTTCCCGTGTGGAAATAATTTTATATTATGTTTAGAAACAGAATTATTTTGTGTTTCAACTTGTTTTAATGTGTACATTCTGGAGCAAGGAGATGTTTCTTTCAACAGCTTGCTTTCCATCTGCAGAAGCCAGATGTTAACCTATGGGAAAACTCAAGTATTTAGTAAGACCAATTCCATACAGAGAACAAGTATCAAGTGGTGGGGAGAGGGAGGAAGAGGAGGCTTCAAAGGGAGATGGTTAGGCAGTGTAATTGCGAACTGCAGCTTTCGAGGAGGGGCGGGGAGACAGATACCAAGAATAGTATGCCCTGACAAGATGTTTTCTTCCTGGGTCTATCTTCCCCTAGAATTGCAGAATCATTCAAGGGAGTCAGAGACAGGACTGTAAAAATGAAATGAGTGAGAATTCTTAGAAGGCAATTTCACATTTCATCTCTATTAATGATAAAAACCAAACTTATCTAGGGCCACACACAGGTTCATATTCTAGCTCTCCACTGTGGTGGAAACTGTCAACCACCCCACAGTCTTCTTTCTCTTCTTCTGCCTGCAAGTGATAAAATACCCCGGGTACTGCCTAGGGCCCTGGCTGCCTATGTTCAAACTCGATTTCCCATCCTCCTCTGTAGACAGATGTGGCCAATGTAAGTATGTTAGGGCCAACGAAAGTGATGTGTACGCCTTCTGGGTCCTGAATGCTTTCATCTCCATTACCTGGATGAAGAATAGTAATGACTAGAGCACGGGTTGCGTATGGCAGAATGACGCTGCAAAGCATCGACTACTCATTTCTGGGCTTGGAGAAAGAAATAAGCTTCTATGTTATTTAAGCTACTATACCGTGGAGTCTCCTTGTTATGGCAGCCCAGCCCACATCCTACTATTACAGCCACTTACTGTCTGAGCTACTGAGTCAAGTTATTTAACCTAAGTCCCAGTTTCCTCATCTGTAAAATGCTAGTATTGTGTGGTGTGCTAATAAGATCCTATTTACTTAGTAAGGTACTAAGAAGAATAAATGGGTTGAAATGTGACATGCCAAATCTGTGACTTACACACACACACAAGGGCTCAATTAAGGGGAGCGACAGTAGCAAAGATAAATGACACCTTGCCAAGTGGCTTTCAAAGACCTCTGACAACAAGCAGCGACTGTGCCCACAAAACCCTCAAGGTAGAGAATGTGTGTCTGCTATATATAACACAAGTGCCTTCTCTTCTGGCCTCTGTGGTCTCAGCAGGAGAAACAAGATGACAAACGGGACGTCATCTGGAAAGCATCGTAATACAACACACATGTCATGCTGCCGCTGTGGCGATGAGGAAAGATACTGCATGACCAGAAGGCAATGAGGAAAGATACTGAATGATCTGTATACACTTTTATGATCATTTATCCCATTCAAATAGGTTCGAGATAATGTTTGCATCCTAGTATATGGAGGCATCAATACTCAGCAAGCCAGACTCTGCCTCTTCTAAGAGACCTAGGGACAATACAACTTCCCTGGCCGAGGGGAGTATCACACAGACTGAAAGGCCTCAGAGGCCAAAGCTCAGGGACTGCAGCCACAGCATCACTATCACTACCAACATCAACATCTACCAAAGTCAGTCCAAAGTTAAAGACTCCCTCTGGTACACTGGTCTTGAGAAACCAGGGCTTGAGATCAATGACAAAAATTCCTGCACTCGGAAGCAGCAAACAACTTAGGGCCTTTATTTCTGTTCCACTTCCCTCAATTGTTACTTACAGGTTCCCGGCCATCCATGGCCTCCATCCAGAGCCTCCGGTCCTCTTCCGACAACGCCTGCATGGTGATGACTCCTGGCCTGTGGAGAAAGGAGGACACAGATATGAACCCAAGGCCACAGGCAGACAGATCTTGATGAAGGTGAAATCTTCAAGCAATATCTGCACAGCATAGTGAGGGGTTGGTGAGATTAACAACACAAAGACAGACACACACGTGGCTCTTCAGAGCCACCTTCCAGTCTCCGAAAGCAAAGCCATCCTCTAAATGCCCCTCAGTGAACCCATTTCCCTCAGGGAGCAAGGAAAAAAACACAGTAGACAAGACCCTAGAGTTACTCAACACAAATGATTAAAGTGATTACTTTAGGGGCACCCGGGTGGCTCAGTCGGTTAAGCATCCAACTTCGGCTCAGGTCATGATCTGGTGGTTCATGACTTCGAGCCCCATGTTGGGCTCTATGCTGACAGCTGAGAACCTGGAGCCTGCTTTGGATTCTGTGTCTCCCTCTCTCTCTGCCCCTCCTCCACCCCCCACCCGCCAGGTGTGAAGTTCTTCACATGCATTACCTCTTTTCACTGCTCACTGAAATCTGTCTGCTCTTTCAAAGTGAGCACAAACCCTCCAGAAAGCTTGTACATAATACCAAATGTTGTTTGTTGAGTCCCCTTTAAAGACAGCACCCCACAACAAGAGACTTGCATCATGGAAATATCCTTGGGAGAAGGGGCTAAAAGCCCTCTGAGCTCATTAAAGCATGAGTTCTTAGGTTTCACAGATGGGTCCCAGAGTGTCTATGAACCTTGCTTCCATCTTCACATGTACATATGTATATTCTTCTGTATTAACAGTTTAATCTATCCCATTATCAAAAAAGACTGCAACCCTCAAAAAGTTAAGAACTGCTGATTTAAATCCCCATTTTAAAGCTTGAGAAAGCCCAAAAGGCAGTCAGAGGTCGAATGAGCAAGGATTCCATCCCATTACCGCGTGAGTCTGTGGTACTGTTCATGATCACAGAACACTATGGTATTGACACACATATGGGCCTGGCCGTATCCTCAACAGCATGAGTCTATTCATTCTGACCCATTATATCACTGCTTTATTTCCAAAGTTCCAATGAATATGCTAGGCCTATTTATGTTGAACATATTTCAAATATCACATTTGCCTCTTTTCATTCATCATCCCTCAACATCCCCTAAGGAAAAAATGTTCCAAAGATGTGAGCATGTAAGTAGTACATGGGGATTGCAAATTCGAGGGGTGGGGTGTGAATGTGTGTGCACGTTTTGTGTGTGGAGGGGTAGGTGGACAAAAGTGGTGGTAGGTGAGTAAGCGGGTGCATGAGTGGATTCGTTGAGCATGAGAACACTAATTCCCTTCCTGTGAAGGCCATTCTGGGCATTGCCACCCTAACACAAAGGGGACTTGGAAAATATAGTAAGTTCTTTCTCCACCAGCCCCTGCCAGGGCCCTACCTCCTCTTCTCAGAAATTCTCATTCTCAGACCCAAGTGCCCATCTCCCACCATCAGCCTATGCAGTGTGCCACACCCATGAGCATCTGGGTCTTACTGGAAGCCCACCGCTCCACAGAGCTGATCCTTGGCTTGTGGGCAGATTGATTCTACTCTTCCACCTCGAGCAAAAGGCTTCAATAGCTTATAGATAAAAAGAAAACAAAGCTGCAGTGCATTGCAGAGCTCTCAAGCCCCTAGATCTAGAACTTTGAGTGTTGCTCAAAGTGTTGTGCCTAGACCACCAGCTTCAGAATCAGGTGTTCCCTTAAAATGGAGATTCCCAACACAAAACCACCTTCCTGAAACTGAATTTCTGGGCTGGGGCTGGGAACATGGATTTTAACCAACTTCCCAGGTGATCCTACTGCACAGTGAGGTCTGAGGCCCACTACCCTGGGCTGCCCACAGGTCCCCCCCCTTTCCTTCCTGTCCCCCCACACTAAAAGAACAAAGACACCCTCTGGTATATGCTAGGGTCAAGCAGCCAATGTGTCTCTGGTTCATTTCCTGCTAGGTGCTCACCAGCAAATAGTGAGACCATGGCAGTGGCCTAGCATACCAAGATTGCAGGGGCCTTGCAGATGTCACATCAACTTCATGGCACACAGTGTGAGATACCCACCCAGAGCCACAAAGAGGAAGTTCAGACAAACTCAGAGGCCACTTGGCCCTAGTAACCAGGAAAGTCAACAGGATTTGTTTTCACTTCAAGAAGAAATATCAAAATGTGAGTTCTTTTCCACATGTGGTTTTGTTCCCCTTTGGGGGGGGGGGCAGTACAAAACTGAATAAAGTGGATTTAACACACTTAGTTCCAATCCTATCACCCATCCCAAGTTCAGTTTATTTTCTCCCAGTATCATGTATGTACATCTGGATCACAGTACTATCCTTTCTAGACATCTAGAAAACACCCCTTCAGCTCCAACTTTCTTTTCCTCAGTTACAATTTAAACCACAGGTAAACAAATCTCTTAAGTGTGAATTTCCAAGAACCAAGGGGAAAGCGTCAACTTTATGTTGGAATCAAGCAGTAAGTTTCTTTGCATATTTGCCTTCCCTATGTCCCTACTAGCCATCATGCCTCAAAACAAAACAAAATGAGCAAAATTCTCTGTAATCCTATACTTTCTGTGTCCGTCCTGTGCGACAGCACACTTTTCTAGGGGCATCAGCTTAGTTCACATGTGAAAAGCACTGGCTTTTCCTAACAAAGGGGAGAGGAGGAAGGAAAAAGAGAATTCCAGACTGGGATATGCAATGAGGAAGGGAAAACGTAAAACAATGGACGAGAACTGAAGAGCTCTTTCTAGCTCTACAAAGAATCGTGACATTATCACGTAACAGAATAAAAACGACAATAATAAATACCCTAGGAGGACATGTCAGATGCTGTGCTAAGAACCATATATATATATATATATATATATATATAT